TGCAAGCGTGTTTGATTTATGGACCAAGTGTTCAAACCCACGCCCGGGTACCAGCTTCAGCCCGGCCCTGATGGCCGCGGGTTCTGACCTGTGTGCAAAGTTTCAAGAGTTTTTGAGCACGTTAAGGGCCCCAAAAGTGCCCAAAAGTTTGTAAAATAATAATAATAATAATAATAATCCTAAGGAAAACAATAGGGCCTTCGCCTTTTCAAGGCTTGAGCCCTAATAAGAAGAAGAAGAAGAAGAAGAAGGAGAAGAAGAAGAAGAAGAAGAATCCTAAGGAAAACAATAGGACCTCGCCTTTTCAAGGCTTGGGCCCTAAATAAAACTCTTGGATCGTTTATGATTGTTATATATTTTGTTATAGGATGTGTTCTGTATTGTTACTTGTTGTCTCCCCCTTGTGGTACACTAAAGAAATCACAGTCACGTTCGTTCTGCGGCTTCCTTTAATGATGTCATCAGGGAGCGCTCAGTAATATCTTCTGACAGCTGCGTCTTGTATTCGTGTATCAATCTCCTTCTGAAAGTCCTTCTGCTCACGTTCAAGCTATAAACGATCATCGTCGGTATGTAATGTTCTTTAACGTCATCTATCTATGCATAGGAATATTATCATGTAAGATGAGATGTATGTTGTTATAATTGTTGTATAGATTTTCGGGTGTTCTCTTAACCCGGCTGCGGTATAATCAGAATAGTCTGAGTTAAGTTATGTCTAAGAAAACCCTTTAAATAGTAATTTCATTGTGTAAAATAACAAGTTATTTGTACTAGGATTGTTTAAAACATGTGAACAGACCCAATGTGAAGATTTAGTACTCATTTATGTATATCTTTGGTTTCAGTTTTACCCTACTTTTGGTCATCATTAAAGAAGTAAACGATTCACCTTTGTCCAGTGTGGTGACTAGAGGAGGAGTTAAACTGTCTGTCAATTTACATGAAGGGTTGTAACAAGGACGGAACAGGATGTGTAAATGTTTTTTTTTTTATATGCAATTTTGACACTGTAACAATTTGCTAATAGCGTATTGTCAAACAGGGACAAATATTCAAGTCATTCTAATGGGGGAATTGAGTTCCCTTTTTATGTGTCCCTCATTGTCAATTTAGTTAGCTAGGTAGATATTTCGATAAAGATAAACTTAAACTGGTTATATTGAGCAAGCTTGCAATGCTAATGCTAATGTAAATCTTTTTGCATCGAATGAGAACACCCACCGGCCATTGTTCTCGAGGGAAGAGGATGTATTAGCCCACGTTTGGGGTCAATGTGTGTTTGAGGAAGAGTCATCCATCCTGTGTTTAATATTTTTTTCTTTTTTTATTCAGTATAGTATAATAGAGCTCTTAAGATATGTAGAATATTATCATATGAAGGGCTAAGACATTTGGATCATTGAAAAAATCCTGCAGAAGGTAAATTATCAGAAAGTGTCCCACATTACCAGAATCTGTCTCGTGAGGCGCTTGACAGTAGCTGAACGCCATGCCTTCTGTAAACGCTATGTTAGCTTGTGTCACCAAGTCGCTTTTCAATAACTCATGGGTAAATTTCAATGATCAGCAGCCATGTGCTGAACGGCATAGCAGGCTAACCATGGCAAGGCAGGGACAACCTCGGGAAGGCCCGTTAGCAACAGCCAACTTAATGACCAACGATAGTGGAAAAATGCCTAATCCTCGTCGTCAATTTATGGTTTCTGTCAGGAGTTAATAAACAAAGCACACTTCATCCATGTTTACTCGTCACTTCACTGGTTCTGACTTCCTCTATGAAAAGAGTAGTCAATAATAAAATCATACCCACAAACAACAATTTTTGACCTCATACAGTCGTTTTCTGGGTCATAACATGTTAAAGAATATCAAAAAGACATTTTTGTAAGTTTGTATACTGCTGCAATAAGTTATGTATTGGAATGTATTAAAAACAACAATAAGAAAAAAAAATGTTTCTTTAAACACACCTGACTCAGATCATCAGCTCGTCAGGAGAGACTCCAGGAACGGAGTGTGTCAGAGAGACATACAACATGTGCAGAGCAGTGGGTCCCAAGGACTGGAGTCTAGATCCACTGGTATCAACTAAAACAATTCTATATTAACAATAGTGGGGTTAACATCAAAATCATCACTAAATAAATTTGGGAAGTCTGATCTCAAGGCATTTCATACGTATTTTACAATTTGTACGAGTGGGGTTGATTTAGCCACCTCATAAAGTGCATACGAATCGGATTGGTCTATACAACGTATTTAACTCAATTACATCAGAAGTAACTGTAATTAAATACAGAAAAAATAATAGTAATCCCTTACTTTACTTTATAGAGGGAAAAGTAATTAAATTACTGTAACTAATTAGTGAGTAGAGAATGTGATTACCCTATGAATATGTGAGAGACTTTGACTAGAAACTGATCTTACACTGGACAGAGCTGTTACGATAGTGTAGGATTGAAAATAATCAAAGATACTTGAAGTCCCCTCTTTCTTACCACATTCATAATTCCTAAAGACAAAGAGGTGAGGATATTAGATATCAGGACACAGGCCCTGCGTCTCAATGTCCACTATCCACCCTAAACAGTGTGTGAGATTAAAATAAGTCTGTCCCAAAGCATAGTATGTTGAAAAGAGTATGCCAGAAGTCCCCGGATGGTCTACTATTTCCGGTGGATTTTCGTAGTGTGGATCTGTGCTCACTATAAAGGCTAATATTGCCCATAACCCATTGCGCTTTGGAGGAGGAACTACAAACACGAGTAAAAAGTGTAAAAAAAAACACAAAAATGTTGGACATGCACGACCAACGGTGAGAGGTTTAGATAAAGGTTTGAGTGACTTAAAAATATTTACTTAATGTTATCCATGTTATATTTAATCTTCAATAAAAATGTGGACTTTTATAAAGATCTGTTTGGCCATTAACTTTTAAATGCATCATTAATAATGCATTAATGAGGAGAGTTGAAAGACCCAGGACTGCACATCAACGCTTCTGCATTTCTCTCAGATACGGTAGGAAATGAAATGAAATGAAATGTGGAGGATTTTAACTGTGACAAGATGATTGACAGATCAGTTTACTGTGACAGAATGAGAAAGAGAGTAGTTAAAGACGCAATAATGACGTGATGGTACGTCCCAAAGCTTATCTACTTTTTACTACACACTGCAAAATATCTGCTTTTTCTTCACAAAAAGAGTACATGCTTTTAGGGAGTACTATAAGTAGGCGAATTGAGACGCAGCAATGGGTCCATTGTTTTCTATTCTTCAAAAACATTTTTTCTATTTTTTAAAGAATGAAACGCTTATTACAACTGATATTATCAAAAATCTAAATCTAAAAGTGTAAATGAACAACATAATTTTGTGAGCTTTAGTGAAGTCAACTCAGCAACAGCGTTTTATACTGTGTTGATACAATAAGCATTTACATGTTGAACTGACCTAAAGAAGCTACTGTACATTAAGCTACTCATATGAGTCTTCATCTCATGAGAGATCACATCATTTAATGTTTTTTTTTTTTTGTTTTTTTTTGGTAAACAAGTACACTTTTAATAAGAACTTTTAAGTGGTGAAATTGTTCATCTGGAGGAAGTTATTAAACTGTGTAAAAAAAAACTAAATAAAATAATACAAAAATGTTTGCATACAATAAAGTTAGAAAATGTTTGTTTACTGTTTTCCACTCAGTTTAAAAAGATGTAATAACATTTATGATGTTTGTTCATATTTTCATATTTAAAAAATCAATACTGTAAAGGCTGAAGATCATTAAAAGGCATTTCAAAATGTTGCCATGTTTTAAAGGGGTCATATAATGGTACATGCACTTTTACAAGTTGATTGTACTGAAATGTGTGTTGGCAGTGTCTGTACACAGCCATCATATAATGATAAAAATCCATCCAGTGTTTTTGTTTTAATCTCCTTATATGTTTTCCCCTGCCTCAAATCAAGCCGTTCGACCTTGTGACGTCAATAAAACGGACGCCCCTCCCACGAGTGTTGATTGACAGCAGGGTTTCAACACAGACCCGCCCTCGCTCGTGAGCCAGCTGTCAATCATAGTCCGCGCGGACCGGCGCGCTCATTGTTGATATGCTGGAGCACTGTCTATGAGCAGAATGGCGTCTAAGCGATTGTGGTGTTCTGTTCTTGGGTGTAATAACGAACACAGTCATTTTAATGTTCCTAAATCCGAACCGCTGAAGACGCAGTGGCTGTGTTTGTTTTCGAAGGGAATATTCCCCACGAGCAACGTCAATGCTCTCATGTTTGCGCGAATCATTTCACACACCAGACTGCTTTATAAACGAGGATCAGTATAAAGCTGGATTTGCTAAGAAGCTACTCCTGAAAGGATCGGTACCAGCTATTCGTGTTCCTGCTGAACCTCTAGAACAACTGAAGTGAGTGTAGCGTTTTATTAAACTTTATATTAATATTTATATTAATCCTTGTAAATCGCTAGCTGCACGCTTCACAATGAATGCATCTAAGGTTTACACTCAGGGTACATTACGGCATGTTTTCTATGTATGACGTTCTCTATATAATTCATAATCCCACGTTTATACTGAACAACGCGGTATGGTTATTGTGTTATTGTGTTACAAACGGTGTACGCCAGAGCCGGCTCTGGTGACGCATAGAACAGAGAGGCGGAGTCAGCAAAGCTCATTATCATTTAAAGTCATATACACTGAAACGGCGTGCTGAAAACAGAGCTGTTTTTGACCAGGTAAAATAAGTGTTTTCTTACAATACTAATGAGAATTTTTAATTAAAGTATATTACAAACTTTCAATTTAGACCCTAATGAATCATATTAGCTTGCACAAAAATGGCATTATATGACCCCTTTAATGTGACCTTCAAATAACAAAAATACTTAATAAAATAGATTAAATTTAAAAAAGTGGATGAAGTTCAAGATTTCTTTCATCATCAGTTGAACGGACTGACATACTGAACTAGGAAACACCTTTATGTATTTTTTACCTAAACCTGCAGTTCATGAATTGACTTATTTTAAAATGACGTCCTCACAGATCCACTGAAAAGCATCATTACATGGATAATCAGCAAATCCTGGCCCATTATTTAGAGCACAATCTTCATCAATTCCTTTGAAACTATTTGGCTCTCCAGACACCCAGAACCTGAAATTAAAGATCAGCCTTTGCTTTCTGTGTGATATGATACTGACTGTGAGATTAATTTATTAGACAATAATCAGTGTAATTCATTGATTTCTCACCCAGAGTTCAGTGTGCTTCCATCAACCCATTTCCATGTGTTCTCCACATCACCGTCAGTCACACCAATCCAGACTTTAACATTAGCAGATATTTTCTTAACAAAACCCTGAGAAAATGAAACAACAACACATTTAGATCTTAAAGAGAATGAACCATTTTCTTCCTATAAACTATCATCCAGTCAGAAAATGAGTTAACTCACTAGTTCTTCTCTGTTGTTTATGATGATCAGATCGGCTCCTCTCTCTGTACAGTATCTTCTGCTCTCAGTCCAGCTCTTCTTCTCAGTGGAAAGGAAGTAAAGACTGGATTTATAGTAAATCCATCCATCTGTAAACACAACCAGTTTAGGTTTAAGCACTTTCACTCCATCACACTGATCCACAAACTTTATTTTAACCGGTTTCACCTAAATAATTAGTAATATATCTATGGAGTGAGGTTTGTGCCATAATTAAACGAACAAATCCAGCATTTTGCAAACAAACTCAATCTGCTTTGCAAAGCAATCTTGCAAACAAACAGAAAGAAATATGCAAAGACAAAGATCAATTTGAGCGAAAACGCAGAGGAGTAACACATATGCATTGTGTTTTACAAATATAAATAAATGAACCTAGATAATTTTTTACAAAAAAATACAAGCCATCCTACAAATTGCTTGTAACATTTGAAAAAATACCAAATCTAGTCCATACAAATGCATATCTGTCTGTTATGATTGTGAGACATTGGCTTTTTATGAGATCTCTCGGCTTGATTTTCTCACAAATGCAGTTGAGAAACCCTCATTTCAATTAAATGAAATGTTCTCAATAATTTAGGGAGAATGACAGAAATAGACTCGTTCAGTGTAGACATAATCACTGATTTGGTCATTTTACACGCGTCCGAAAAAATGTAAAAAGCAACATATGATGGCAGAGCTTTCAGCTTATAGTTAGATTCCCCTGTCCTAGAGAGAGAGAAGTGCTACTAAGTGCTAATGTGGATTTCTGTCTAGATCTTTAATAAACATTTTGCAAAAGAAAACCTCCAAAAAGGTTCATTATTACGGTGACCGACCGAGCTCAACGCTGCAACTGAAGAAAACACATGCAAATAGAAAAAAAACACCTGCAAATTAAGAAAACATCTTCATCAGTTTCACAACACACGTGTGCTACAAATACTCACAACACAACCAAATACAGAAACGCGCTGCAAATAACACAGACCGCAATGGAAATGTTTCCAGGGGAACCAAATAATAAGTGACGAACCGGCTGGGACGTGCTTATTGCTCGTGAGCACCCTATGCCCTACTCGCTTCGAAGGGCAGACGGCAGAGCCCTTAAGTGGGACTTTGGAGTGAGCAGGGCTCTAGTGTGCACTAGTGTGCTGTTATGTAGCCGTGTGGAACGCACTTGATGAAGGGAGCAACGAAAGACAACGTAATTTCCTCATTATTTTCACCTGGGATGTTCCCATGACAACGCAGCACGGAATATAATGCTGTTAACATAACGGTTGCAAATACATTTTTTTTTTTACTTTACAAAATGCTTTTAAAATACGCGTTATATATCTGTGTGTCAGTGTCTCAACTTTAAAAATTTGGACCCTACATTACCTAACATATCTTATGAAACTTTTCTTCATGAAAATTTAAACATAACATGAAACAATTTCTACAGTGTAACTGATGTATAGATTAATATCTTTCCTTCATGTTCTTCTTCTCTATCTTTATTATTTATTTATTTTAGTTTTCAGCTCATTGTTCTTTTCTCATTTGTATTCTGATGACATTGAACATATTGTTAATACATTTTTCTATATTGTATTCAAGTTGTATGTCTTAAAAATGTATTCTCTGTATGTTTTGCAAAAAAAAAAAAAAAAGTTAAAAGAAATAAAATTGAGCGTCGGCGTCAGTTCTGGCAGGCCAAGTAGTCAAGACGCTGCTAACGCTATTGGCCAACACACGGTCTCATCAGCTGATCTGCATTAGCGCATCAGCTGTTCAACTCCTCTCGCCGCTAATGATTACGCTCAAATCAAGGCGCACCGCAAACTGCCCTGTCAATCATCCTGTCACCGTAAACTGCCCTGTCAATCATCCTGTCACCGCAAACTGCCCTGTCAATCATCCTGTCACCGCAAACTGCCCTGTCAATCATCCTGTCACCGTAAACTGCCCTGTCAATCATCCTGTCACCGTAAACTGCCCTGTCAATCATCCTGTCACCGTAAACTGCCCTGTCAATCATCCTGTCACCGTAAACTGCCCTGTCAATCATCCTGTCACCGTAAACTGCCCTGTCAATCATCCTGTCACCGCAAACTGCCCTGTCAATCATCCTGTCACCGCAAACTGCCCTGTCAATCATCCTGTCACCGTAAACTGCCCTGTCAATCATCCTGTCACCGCAAACTGCCCTGTCAATCATCCTATCACCGTAAACTGCCCTGTCACCGTAAACTGCCCTGTCAATCATCCTGTCACCGTAAACTGCCCTGTCACCGTAAACTGCCCTGTCACCGTAAACTGCCCTGTCAATCATCCTATCACCGTAAACTGCCCTGTCACCGTAAACTGCCCTGTCAATCATCCTGTCACCGCAAACTGCCCTGTCAATCATTGTCAGCAGCATTAGGGAACACTCACACAGTTTAGGACTGGGAGAGCTGAACTATTCCCCCTATGAACAGAGCAGCAACGATAACAGAATAGCAAATGCCACGTTATACACGACAAGGAGGAGCTGGGGAGTTGGCGGGCTGCAGAGAAGCGAGCAGCAAGCAGTTAGGAGCGAACTGAATCTGCTTAACCCTCTGGGGACCAGAGTGTTTTTGGGGCCCTTGGGATGTTTTGACATGCACTGACATTTGTGCTTTTTTCAGTTATTTATAAACATGTTAATGGCAAAGGTGTAAATTCACTCTATATAGCACAAACTTGGCTACCATGAGATCTGAGCAACATGTATGTACATGTTTGTATTTTTTATAGAATAATGTTTATGCGTGGTTGAAAAAAATAAAAATGAAAGTTGCTGAAATAAGACCACAAAACACATATTGATTATTTCTTCACAAGACTTTTGAAAATTGTATCACATAGCCTAGAATATTTGCTCCAAAACTATGTGAGAATCATCCTGACTACTCATTCAGATAAGTCAATAAAGTCTTTTACATTTTTAATGACGTGTTTTGTTTGAGAAAGCTTTATGCAGGAGGCGTGATCTCTCATTAATATGTGTGGCATTCCACACCTGAGAAAGACAAAGACCCTCCCCATAATGGCCCTATTAGGTGCTATCAGGCCATATCATTACAGGAGCCTTGCACAAAGAATGAGGAGATTTAAAAAAGAATGGCTTTTAGATTGTTTGGATTTATATAAGGAAAATACAGGGTGCATACGTCTGGACACTTCTATCACACACCCTTCACCATATAGACATGGTTTTATTTCAGTTCAAAGTTCAAAGTTAGAGTTGGAAACATCTTGAAAAGAAAATTGTCTTTCTCCATAAATGTCTTAGTTTGATCATACATATTTCAAAGTTGAGGATTCATTATTTTGATATAGCTTGAACAAACACTATAACATCTTAGTTGATTAGTTTATTGACAAAACATACTATATATTTAACATATGAGCAGAAACTCCTAACAAAAGCTTATTTGATGTCTATTTTAGAGTAAACACTTTATCCAAAACGAGTCAACGAAATGTTGTCTGTTATTTAGTCTGTAACAGTGCATATCTGTGCGTTCATTCATTCATTCATTCATTCACACACACACACACACACACACACACACACACACACACACACACACACACACACACACACACACACACACACACACACACACACACACACACACACACACACACACACACACACACATGATTCACATTTAACAGTAGCCTATGCTATTTTTCCGTTTACAGACACTACGTTATTCTATATCGCGATTAGAACAAAGCACTTGCAAAAAACACTTACTTCTCAGCTGAATCTGTTCATCCTCGAAGTGAAAATAAACCCAGTGGTAAATGTCCCAGGATTGTTCCTCATATAGCCGCGCAAGACGACAGTAGATTAATCTGACTAAAAAATAATGTGTGTTTTCAGAGTTTATGGGCGTTAACGCGTCTCAATGTGTTGCTTCACATATTTGCGTTTGAATAGCGCGTGCTCTCCGTGGGCGTGTCACATTACCAGTGATAATCAGCTGAGAGAACGATAATGAGACGGGCTGACACGTCTCTCTTTTTATATAGATGACATAAACGGAGAATATTAATTTTAGTTTTGAATCGGATCATTTAAAAGTACAAACTCAAATGATTTAAAAGATATATTGCTTATGGCTGGGTGAATAGTATTAGCTGAGTTGTGTTGAAGATTAGAGACGTGCTCCAGAAAAAAAGTTCACGGTGACTGAGAGGCAGAACGCACACCCTGTTTATTTTCTTTATTTTACAAAAGCACAATATTTTATTTCGATTGTATGTGGGCACATAAAAAAGTAGACATTTAACAGATTATTTTCTCATATTTCTTAACTCTATATGAACAGAAATGATGGTAGTACTTTAAGTCTATTTTTCTGCTATGTGAAAAAAAACGAGCAAAACGCGCCGGCGCGTTTCTGGTCCCCAGAGGGTTAAATAGGGCGCCTTGATTTGAGCGTAATCATTACAGGATGATTGACAGGATGATTGACAGGGCAGTTTGCGGTGACAGGATGATTGACAGGGCAGTTTACGGTGACAGGATGATTGACAGGGCAGTTTACGGTGACAGGATGATTGACAGGGCAGTTTACGGTGACAGGATGATTGACAGGGGAGTTTACGGTGACAGGATGATTGACAGGGCAGTTTACGGTGACAGGATGATTGACAGGGCAGTTTACGGTGACAGGATGATTGACAGGGCAGTTTACGGTGACAGGATGATTGACGGCAGTTTGCGGTGACAGGATGATTGACAGGGCAGTTTACGGTGATAGGATGATTGAAAGGGCAGTTTACGGTGACAGGATGATTGAAAGGGCAGTTTACGGTGACAGGATGATTGAAAGGGCAGTTTACTGTGACAGGATGATTGAAAGGGCAGTTTGCGGTGACAGGATGATTGACAGGGCAGTTTACTGTGACAGGATGATTGAAAGGGCAGTTTGCGGTGACAGGATGATTGACAGGGCAGTTTACGGTGATAGGATGATTGAAAGGGCAGTTTGCGGTGACAGGATGATTGACAGGGCAGTTTATGGTGATAGGATGATTGAAAGGGCAGTTTACGGTGACAGGATGATTGAAAGGGCAGTTTACGGTGATAGGATGATTGAAAGGGCAGTTTACTGTGACAGGATGATTGACAGGGCAGTTTACGGTGACAGGATGATTGACAGGGCAGTTTATGGTGACAGGATGATTGAAAGGGCAGTTTACGGTGACAGGATGATTGAAAGGGCAGTTTACGGTGATAGGATGATTGAAAGGGCAGTTTACTGTGACAGGATGATTGACAGGGCAGTTTACGGTGACAGGATGATTGACAGGGCAGTTTATGGTGACAGGATGATTGACAGGGCAGTGTACGGTGACAGGATGAATGACAGGGCAGTTTACGGTGATAGGATGATTGACAGGGCAGTTTACGGTGACAGGATGATTGACAGGGCAGTTTATGGTGATAGGATGATTGAAAGGGCAGTTTACGGTGACAGGATGATTGACAGGGCAGTTTATGGTGACAGGATGATTGACAGGGCAGTGTACGGTGACAGGATGAATGACAGGGCAGTTTATGGTGATAGGATGATTGACAGGGCAGTTTACGGTGACAGGATGATTGACAGGGCAGTGTACGGTGACAGGATGATTGACAGGGCAGTTTATGGTGATAGGATGATTGAAAGGGCAGTTTACGGTGACAGGATGATTGACAGGGCAGTTTATGGTGATAGGATGATTGAAAGGGCAGTGTACGGTGACAGGATGATTGACAGGGCAGTTTATGGTGATAGGATGATTGACAGGGCAGTGTACGGTGACAGGATGATTGACAGGGCAGTTTATGGTGATAGGATGATTGACAGGGCAGTGTACGGTGACAGGATGAATGACAGGGCAGTTTACGGTGATAGGATGATTGACAGGGCAGTTTACGGTGACAGGATGATTGACAGGGCAGTTTATGGTGATAGGATGATTGAAAGGGCAGTTTACGGTGACAGGATGATTGAAAGGGCAGTTTACGGTGATAGGATGATTGAAAGGGCAGTTTACTGTGACAGGATGATTGACAGGGCAGTTTACGGTGACAGGATGATTGACAGGGCAGTTTATGGTGATAGGATGTACGCGACAGATCTGTCCGTTAAAGATGACGAAGTAGTATGTCCCAAAGCTTGTGTATTCTTTTGCTACACACTTTTTCTTCACAAAAAGAGTACACACTTTTAGGGCGTAGTACAAGTAGGCGAATTGGGACACAGCAATGTGCTTCTCTCGGGAGACTAGCGCTAAACTCATCCCCTAGCTTAGCGCCATCTACTGTTTTAGAAGGGTTTCTCAACTGCATTTGTGAGAAAATCGAGCCGAGAGATCTCATAAAAAGCCAAGTGTCTCACAATCATAACAGACAGATATGCATTTGTATGCACTAGATTTGGTATTTTTTCAAATGTTACATGCAATTTGTAGGATGGTTTGTATTTATTTGTGGAAAATTATCTAGGCTCATTTATTTATATTTGTAAAACAATGCATATGTGTTACTCCTCTGCGTTTTCGCTCAAGTAACCTTTGTATTTGCATTATTTCTTTCTGTTTGTTTGCGAGTCGAGTTTTCCTTTATAAAGCAGATTGAGTTTGTTTGCAAAATGCTGGATTTGTTTGTTTAATTATGGCACAAAATTCACTCCATATGTATCCTATAAAGTATACTTCATGTTTACCCTTTTCACGAAGACTTTTTGACAGGTCATTTTTCTCCTTATTTAACTGGTCTCTGTGTTTAATCAGGTCAAGGTTACTTGATGATAATCCATCTCTCTCTTTTATCAATTGCATGTTCCTGGTAAGTAGCTCATCCCTCTCTTCTGTGAGGTTGGTGTTCCTGGTAAGTAGCTCATCTCTCTCTTCTGTGAGGTTGGTATACCTGGTTAGTAGCTGGTGTGTCTCTTCAGGGTAGTTAGTGCTCTTTGTCTTGATGTGGACACACAGCACTATGACCGCAGTCCGCAGAACCAAACACAGCAGAACCAAACACACGAGAGCTGCTCTGGAGCTTCGGTTCCTCACACTATCACTTCCTGAACACCACAGATATGAAGATCATTGCTAATTGCTTGTATTATTCAAATGTGTGTGTTATAATGCAATTAATCTTAGTACCTGTGTGTTGAGGTGTTTGGGAGTTCTCCGCTTCTGTCCTGACATCAGAGCCGTTTATAGGATCCACATTAGCGTAGATATCCATCTCTTCTTCATCTTCTCTGTCCATGCCATCTTTCCTGGGAATGTTCATATTACCATAAGACATATTCAGTCTGCTGGAGTTAGATGTGAGATTATTAGAAGTTGTTTCTTCAAGTGGATTGCACTGCTCTGAACTTCTGCTTTTGAGCTTTTGCTTTCAGCAGCCACAACCACTGTGGTCATATTCATGTGATTTCCGGTTGGGGGGCTAAAAAAAACTCTTTGCTGACTATTGACAAAAAAGTTTTTTTTTTCTCTTTATACTTGTGCATTTATGACTTATGTTTAGATGTATATGACATCGTCCATATACTTAATTAATATGGACAAAGCATCATACTGTAGTTAATAGACCTACACAGCAACTAGAACTCATTTCACCATATAATTAGAGATCAACTGAAATCATTTGGATCTTGACTGTTTCACGTTCATTTTGATATGTTGGTAACACTTTACTTGAAGGCCCAGGTGAAAAATAATTCTATTAAAAATATACTTTAATAAAGTGTACTAAGTATATTTTCTACATTTTGTACTATTTTCGTCAAATCCAAGTATAGTTAAGTGTATTAAATTATGTATTAACTTCAACTTAACATCTATTTGACTACACTTCTAGTGTAAATAGTATACTAAAATGGAACAACTTTTTTTAAACTTCAAGTGCACTAAAATACACTAATGAAAACAAGATTCATGAGCAATTAAGCACACTTACAGTACAATTGCATTGTATCCCCAGGTGAAAAGGAAATATATTTAAATTGTGCTTATTTTGATATACTTAATGTATTTTAAGTTTACTGTATTAAGTATGTATTAAATGTGTTATTTTGAAACAACTTTAAGTATACTAAGTGTACGTTAATATGTATTTAAGTTCAATTTTAAGGTAATAGTAATATATTTTATTATATTTAATTGTGTTAAAATGGAACTATTTTAAGTACATTTAGTGTAATATAATAGCACTTCTTTAAATTGTATTTTTAATACACTTTAAATCTACTTTAGAAATACAGCTGAAGTATATTTTTAGCTTCACATTAATGTGTTCCAAGTATATTTTAAATATAATATCAGCTTATTAATAATGTATTAGTAGAACACTATAAGACAGTATATTAAACATATATTTTTACAAAACCATTAAATATGAAAATAATATATTTTAATGTATTAAAATACAGTGAAAACTTATAATTCAGTAAAACACACAGTAAAAACACACTCAAACACTCTTTGAAAGATAGTAAACTTTAATGCACTACATCAGTACAGCATCATATAAAAACTAAACAAAATACATAAAATGCATTGATCTGCAGAGGTATTAAACAGAAGAAAAAAACTCAAACAAAGTGATATACAATAGCTGCAAAAAAAAAACCTTCATCCTTCAAGTGAATTGAAGTGATTGGTCTTGGAGTTTGCCTCATTGTTGCATTTTCTTCTAATCAGTGCTCGCACCTCAGACACTGTCGTGGTCGGAAACTGTTTGATCACAGTATCTATGAAAAGGGAAAAAGCAAAATTAACCTCTGTTAAAAAAGTCACTGTTCCCTTTTGAAAGGGAACTTGCACTGCATATCTAGGCGCCCCTGTTATACTTCTGGGTCGTACTAATATAGTCATAGGCTGTCGCCAAATTTGATTGCCGTGATTTTATAGCTTTTCAGACACCAGTTCACCTGGAGGGCGTTACCCATAGCATAATCCATACAGTGTCTCATTCCCTGTTCTCAGGGAACAGAGCTTACAGTCGTAAAGTCGTAACACGTTTTTTATTACAACACAGTATGATGTTTTGACATTTCCCTACTTGTTGTATTAGAAGGTGAAAAAGACGTACTGTTAAATGTATTATAAATGCATTAAATTATATTTGTATTGTACTAAAAACATACTTAAGTACATTTTTAATAGTATGTCTTTTTCACCTGGTCAAAATTAAATATTTTTGCATATAATGCTTAGTTCATATATTTTAACAGTAGACATTCAATAACATTTTTTAATGTAATTCAAAAAAAGAGTTTTACAGAAACAACAGAGGAAAATACCACTTTTACAATTTCCAATAGAAATCATATTTCTGTTATTGAATGTAATGTTATATGTAGCTATTCTAAAATACAGGGCTCGACATAAACACTTTTTCTGTGTATTTTTCTGAAAGGATAAGTGAAAAGAGTATTTTTACTAGCCCTACCTGTCACGGTATTTGGATCCAGTGTTTCTCTCTAGTCTCGTGCTTTGTTGTTTACATGTGTGCGAGTGTGTGAGTGGGTGTGTCCGCATCATCAGTTGATCAGTATTCAGCTGCGATCACTCACCAGTACCAGCTGCCACTCATCTCATCTCCTATAAAGACTTACCACTTTCTCATTCCCATTGTCAGATCGTTGTATGAAGTCCTCGTGTTTCCTGTGCCTGTTCCTGTGCTTCGTGTCCCGTCTCGAGTTCCTGTGTTCCGGTTTTCGTCGTGTTGGATTTCGTTTCGTGTCTGGATTACATCATCACTCTTCTGAGCACCCTGCACTTCATCCTTCACTCTGTGTCTGACCATCGAAGTCCCTGCGCCACCGCCTGCTAAACCTGGACTATCATTATCATCATCTTTACTTACACTATTAATAAAGAGCTTTTACTTGCATCTTGTGTCCTCGTCTCTGACGTAACAGAACGATCTGACCAAGAATGGACACAGCAAGTACATCAGCGCCGACCATGGAGGACTGTTTGAGTAACAGTATGGCTCGTCTGGACGTTCAGGAGAAGAATTTAAATGATACTGGTCGCGCTGTTCAGGCGTTAGTGGCGCAGGTGTCCGAGCTCACCCGGCAGATCCAACAGCTACGAGCTCCCACTGCGCCGCCCGCACCGGCCGTTCCCCCCACACCATCGGAGAGCCCATCCCAGTCGGAGCCACGCCTACCTTCCCCAGAGCATTATTCAGGTGATCCAAGATTTTGCCGAGCCTTCTTAACCCGGTGCTCCATGCATTTTTCGCTCCAGCCTCAGACTTTCCGGACTGAGCGTTCCAAGGTCGCCTTTGTGCTCACCCTCCTGACTGGGAAAGCGGCACTATGGGGAACGGCGGTGTGGGAAAACGACGATCCATGCTGCACCTCGTTCCAGGAGCTCTCCGCTGAGATGAAGAGAGTTTTCGACCGGACGGCCGGCGGAAGAGAAGCTGCAAGAATGCTGGCTGAGTTACGTCAAGGAGAAAGGTCGGTGTCGGACTATTCAGTCGAGTTCCGGACCCTTGCAGCGGAGAGCAAATGGAACGAGGAGGCGCAGTGGGACATGTTCCTGCATGGGCTGGCTGACCGCGTCCGAAGAGAAATCTACGCTTTGGACCTGCCCCAGTCTCTTAATGAACTCATCGCTTTAGCTCTCAGAGTTGATGCCCGACTGTCCCGAGTTGGTGGCCACGCTATGAGTAGACGCCCTCTGGCAGGAGCCGAGGGACCACGAGTTGGAGGCGGGGACGCGGTCAGCCCCGTCGACGATCACGAGCCCATTCAGGTGGGTCGAGCTCGGCTTTCCCGGGAGGAGAGGGAAAGGCGGAGGTCCCAGGGCCTTTGCCTGTACTGTGGTGGAACCGGACACTATGCTTACAACTGTCCGGTAAAAGGGCAAGCCCGATAGTAAGTATGAGGCTACTATCGGGTGGGATCTCCGCCGAGAAGACCTCATCTACATCTACCCTCCTTCCGGTAAGACTGAGATGGTCAACACTCACTCACGACTGTCGAGCACTCTTGGACTCCGGAGCAGAAGGTAACTTAATGGATCACTCATTTGCACGTCAATTCAAGATTCCCCTCAAGACCCTCACACATCAGATTGCTGTACACGCACTTAATGGACAAACACTTCCCAACATCACGTTTGCCACAGAAGACATCACCCTCACCACATCAGGCAACCACACCGAGACCATCTCGTTCTATATCCTGAACACCCCCCTTGCACCCATTGTCCTCGGTCACCCTTGGCTCGTCCGGCACAACCCTAAAGTGGACTGGCAGCTCAAGTCTGTGTCTTCATGGAGTAATCAGTGTCATAAGTCTTGTCTAGTGTCTGCCTGTCCGTCTGTTTCTGTCCCTGTGTTGCAGGAGGAGGCAGTGGATCTATCTAACGTGCCCGCGGAGTATCTGGACCTGAAGGAGGTGTTCAGTAAGTCTCGGGCTGCTTCTCTCCCTCCGCATCGTCCCTATGACTGTGCCATAGACTTATTACCAGGTACGGCTCCGCCCAAGGGCAAGTTATATTCGCTCTCTACACTTGAGAGGGAGGCTATGGAGAAATATATTTCTGATTCTCTAGCAACAGGGTTCATCCGCCCTTCCTCTTCTCCAGCGGGGGCGGGGTTCTTTTTTGTGGGGAAGAAGGATGGGTCTCTGCGACCTTGTATTGACTACCGGGGGTTGAACAACATCACGGTAAAGAATACTTATCCTTTGCCGTTGATGTCTTCAGCCTTCGAGAGGTTTCAGGGAGCGACCATCTTCACAAAATTGGATTTACGTAATGCCTATCATTTGGTCCGCATCAGGGAGGGGGATGAGTGGAAGACCGCGTTTAACACCCCCAGGGGACACTTTGAATATTTGGTTATGCCTTTCGGGCTTTCCAACAGTCCAGCGGTCTTCCAGGCACTCGTCAATGACGTGCTGCGAGATATGAAAGATCAGTTCATCTATGTCTACCTGGACGACATACTGATTTTTTCTTCTTCTCTCCAGGAACACGTGCAGCACGTCCGACGAGTGCTTCAGAGGTTGCTAGAGAATGGGCTTTTGTCAAGGCGGAGAAATGCGATTTTCATGCACAGTCTGTCCCATTCCTAGGATACATCGTGTCGGTTGAGGGAATGCGCATGGATCCTGAGAAGATCAAGGCTGTGGTAGAGTGGCCAAGTCCAGAGTCTCGTAAGGCCCTACTGAGATTTCTGGGGTTCGCCAATTTCTACAGACGTTTTATTCGCAACTTCAGCCAACTTAGCCGCACCTCTGACCGCTTTGACCTCCCCCAGAA